CCAAGATCTCACCATTGCACTCCAGCCTGGGTGACAGAGCGAGACTCTGTCTCAAAAAAAAAAAATAATAATTAATGCTCTGGACCCAAGGCACAGTGGACACCCACAAATCTGAGTGTGTGGATACACACATATTTGAGTCCTGGCATGTAAAACAGCAGGGCACCGTGTCCCAGTGTAGAAAGGTGTCTCTTCATTGCTGTCTTGGGAAAATACCGGGAGATTTCCCTACAGGAGCTAAAACAGCTAAAATTGGGCTTTATTTAGAGGTTGCGCTCACTTCCATTCATTCTCTACATGTTTGCGTGGCTGCTCCCTCCCTGCTCCGCCCCTGCAGAACCAGAACTCCTGACTTGGACCTTGCTGACCCTGTTATGGGTGGATGTGCCTTCACAACTGTCCACATACAGGTCCATGTCTCCCAAATCTTAAGATACTTGAGGACAGGCGCTGTGCACAGCTTGGGATGAGTATGCACTGTGAAGGCAGACAGACTGCCCCTACTCCTCCAGAAAGGTCAGCTCCTCATCACCCTCAGCTTCCTCATCGTTGGGAAATAACGGCAAAGGCAAAAATAACCACAATCATAATGCATTAAGTCCTCATAATTAAAGAGAATAGCAGGTGAAACCCCGTCTCTAGTAAAAATATAAAAATGAGCTGGCTGTGGTGACATGCGCCTGTAATCTCAGCTACTCAGGAGGCTGATGCAGAAGAATCACTCGAACCCAGGAGAGAGAGGGTGCAGTGAGCCAAGATCGCACCATTGCACTCCAGCCTGGGTGACAGAGTGACACTCCATCTCAAAAAAAAGAAAAGAAGAAAAGAGCAGCAAACACTCACGAGTGCTTCTGTGGGGAAGCATCAGTCCAGGACCTCCCTGTGCCCCAACTCATTCACCCGCTCCGAACTCCATTCTTCAAACGGAGTAAACTGAGGTAGAGAAAAGGCAATGATGTCATCCCTGAGCCCATTTGGCTCATCTGCAAAATGGGTACAAGCCACAGTCTGGGGGTCTGGAGAGACCCAGGTGTGTGACAGAGCTCCCTCCCACGAGTGCTGGGCATTTGTGGGATGTCTCAGAGCCCTCAGGCCCCAGCTGAATTCCCAAAGCACTGTGGAAAATGGCCCAGACAAAGCACTCCGAGCTGAGGGAAGATGGGTGTCCACACGGTGGGGCTCTCAAGCCCGTCCCCTTCCTGCTAAACTCAAAGCTTTAGTGTCCCCTTGCAGGCTTGTGTGGGAGGATGAGGAGTTGGTGAGGCTTCTTGGCTGTGGGCAACAGGAACTGATGAGAGGACTCTGGGTTGTGCCCAGGGGAGAAGAGGGCAAGGATGAGGGGGCACTGGGGCATGGCGGGAGCTCAGGGCCTCCAAGGCGATCTACTCTCCAGCCTTTGGGTTCAGGAATTAGACCTGACAGCCGCCATCAGGTGGGCCTGGCTGGGCTGCTTTGTGCATCCGCCACTGGAACTGCCCCACCCGATGCCTGACGATGACTGAGGATGGCTCCTGGAGAGGTGGGGCCGGCAGCCAGCACTTCGGGGCTGTGCCTCAGCCCAGCACAGAGCAGGACCCATCCCCACCAACCCTCCCGGGCGGCGTGGCCTTGCACCACACTTGTCCAGCTTTGCTGGCTGACGATATTGGGATCCCTCCCAGCGAGGTCCACTCATCCCACAGACACCGATGGGGCCCTGCCCAGGCCCTGGATGGCAGGAGCTGGCCCTCCCCCATGGGCAGGTGCATCCCTGGAGAGTGTGGAGGCCTCTCTGGGCCTCAGCCCCAAGCCCTCCATGAAAGTGTCCACACAGTGTCCCCCCATGAGCTCCTCTGGCAATGCCCACAATGTGAGGCCCTCCTGAGCAGGGCGGAGAACAGCGCAGCTCCGAGCCTCCCCTCCTGAAGGATCTCATCCCACCAAGGCACCGCCCTGTGGGGACAGGGCTGCAGACCACCACTTGGGCTGGCAGGTGTGGCCCCTGGCTGGTGGCCTTCAGGCCAGGAAGAAGATAGCCAGGAGGGGCGTGGCCATGATTCCCAAAACATGGGAAACCTGGGCTTGGTCCTCAGCCAGCCCAACCCACCCAGTCCCAGATTCTTTCTCCAGAGGGTCTGCACCCCCACCCCGGTTTCTGCCTGCTATCTCACCCTGCCCCTGTCCTGCTCCTCAGCCGCCATGCTCCAGAGTGTGCCAAAGATGGAATGTGAGAGGAGCGCCTGTCACACTCTCCTGACAAGTGAGAAACGCACAGGCCATATGAACAGGCGAGATGACGCATAGGGGGCCTATCCAGCTTCATCACAGGAATTGGCCCTGCTCACTGTGTGGCCGACACTGGCTCACAGAATGGCCATCCCCAGGGACCCCATCCCCCTCAACAATCACCTCCCTCTTCAGGAGGAAAAAAAAAGCACAACCATTTAATGATGCACCCTCGGAGTGCTGGCAGGCAGAGGGAGGACTGGAGGGGAGCAGGATCTGATTAATTTAACGGGGAGTCCCGGGGAAGAATCTCAGAGATAGAGCAAAGAGGCATTTCAAAAGCACAGCGATAAACACACCACATCACGCAGAACAAACAGAAGCAGCCGCTTTGCCGATAAGTGCTTCAGCTTTGCGACTTTCGAGATGAAACGGCCCAGCTGAGACAGATGGAGTGAATTTGATGGGCTGGGGGCTGCCCGGGCAGCATCCTGAGCTGCTCCCCTCTCCCCACCCCCCGAGTATGTTCCCGACGACAGTTAGGATCTTGCCTTTTGCTCTGAAGACTTCTGACAGTTCTGATCCGCCGGTTTCTTATCTGGCTGTCATGCATTTCTCCTGTGCCGGGGTCACATCCGTTTGGGGAATAAATCTGTTTTGAAAGTGGCAGTTGGGAGATGAAGGCACTGAGGACTCCCAGCCGGTCAAGCCCCTCTCTGTCCCGGGGCAGCCACAAACCTTCTCACTGCAGGGGGCATTCAGAGCCATCCTGCCTGGAGACTCAGCCCTCAACATCCTTCCCATCTCAGAGATGGTAAAACCGAGGCCCAGCAAGCTTGGGCTCTGTAACCACTGACTGACAGCTGGGGCTCACGACCAGTCTTCTGGCCCCAGACTCGGTAACCTTTTCCTCAGGAGGCCAGCCTGCACAGAGAGCTGTTGGGAAAGTCCCCCGTCTGCAGCTATCACTGACACCTGGTGCAGAGGGGCAGGTGCACCGGGGAGGAGAGTAGGCCTGTGTTTGGAGTCACAGCACAGGCAGGATCCCGTGCTGGCTGCAGATGAGTGCTCTGAAATTGGGCAGACCTGGTTCAGACATCAGTCCTACTACTTACCAGCTGTGTGAGCTGGAGAGGTTTCTTGCCCTCTCTGAGCCAAAGGTGCCACTGCCTCGGAGGTTTCTGGCCACAAAAGTGACAGCCCAAGGATCCCGTAACACCTGCACTGCAGGGAGAGCTGTCCCACATCTGCCGGGCCAAGCCCTCCACACACTGAGCAGCAGAGCCAGCCCCGCGGCACTGCGTGTTGTGCCGCCTCCTGCCGGCCCCTTCATGTCTCTTTCCAAAGCCCTGCATTCTTCCTGCTTTGAAGCAGGGAAGAGCTGCCTCACATTTTCTAGCCTTGCGTGGAGACCAGGTCACTGCTGGGGATGCCTGGACCACGTCCACGTGTTTCATCCCAGCTGCTGGTCAGCCTTGAACTCCACACCCTTCGGCTCTGAGTGTGTGATCCACAGCACGCAGGAAGCACTGTCTTCACTGGTGAGGTTTGCCCCCACCAGGCTCCTGCCTTCAAGGGTACACAGAGCTCTAGACAGCTCAACGTCAGCAGGATGAGGGTGGGGGACAGGACTGGCAGGTGGTATGAGTGCAGATTCAGCAGATGCACCAATGATGGGATAGAATAAAACCCTTTCCAGGATCAAAACATGCTGGGAGTGAGATCAGGGTGATTCATCCACAGTGATGGCGGGAGGACCACTTCAAGGTGGGGGTCAGGGTGGTCCAAGCAGAGCCTGAATGAGCAGGAGGATACCCCCACCCACTGACATCTGGAGACAGAACATTCCAAGCCAGGGAAGTGCTGGTGCAGAGGTGCTGAGGCCAGAGAGGGTGTGTGGGGCTCCAGGGACAGGAGGGCCAGTGCCGCCAGAGCGAAGGCGCGGGTGTGGCTGGGGATGAGCATGGGAGGATTGAGAGTTTCCTGTGTGTGAAAGGGCGAAGCCGGCAGGACACGCTAGGCAAGCCTTTCCCAGCTACGCCGAAGAACATGTCGTGAGGCTTCATTCGCACCACCAAGAGCCAGGCTGCATCGGGTCCTCATGCCCAGGGACTGTGGGAAGCCCTTTCTGCATAACTCACATTCTGTGGATGAAGAAACTGAGGCATGAGAGGTTAAGTCTGCTGCCCAAGGTCACACAGTGAGTAGGATTCAAACCATATGGGGAGATGGTGAGGAAGGCCGGGCAGTGGTCCAGCCATGAGGGGACCCCGGTTTGAGCCCGGGTGAGGACCCTGGGCATGGAGGGGTGGGAAAGCGGACATGGGAGGAGCCCTGACAAGAGTGACCAGAGCACTGGCGTCCACACACCTGGAGGAGCCTGGAGCACCAAGCCAAGGACAAGACACATATGCCCTTCCGAAGCCACGTGGGCACAAGGGGCTGGCGAGTCACCACCATCTGAAAGGCCCATGCGCCAGCCCTTGGAGCCCCTCCTTGCCCAGAGGCCATGGGTGGAACCCGAGCTGAGGGGTGTGTGCTGAGCAGCCCCACACCTTCCGAAAGGCATGAGGGCGGCCGAACTGTGCCACGGCAGCTCGACAGCTCCTCGACAGCTCCTCGACATACACCCCCAGAGTAAGGTTTCTCAGGCTGCCCTGCACACACAAGGGCCAATTTATTGCATGTTTTCTTCCAAAAGGAATCATTCGCTGAGCCAAATGTGAACTGCCACCACCTTCCAACAGGCCAGAACACACGTGCGTTAAAGCGCCCTGAAGTGAACGGCCCTTCCAGAAAGAGCAGAAATCATTCTTTTATTGTCATCTTCATCTGTTATCGTAATTTACAATTTCACCACACTCCAATTACTGGGCATTTAGAGAACATGTGTTCGTGTCCCCAGCAGCCTCAGCACGCAGCCCCCACCAGGTGGACCATTTAACTTTCCACTTAGCGCTTCCTGCCGGCCCCTGAGGTGTGAGAACGGGACATCCCACTGGCCCTCCCCTACCCCCACTGTACTCCCAGATCCAGAGGAAGACAGACGGTGCCATCCGTGAGAGCACTCGATGCTGTGCTGCCCTCCCAGCCCCAGCCTCCTCACTGGCACAGCCTCCCGGCCTCACACACCGGGAAGGGCGCCCCAGGAACTGGGAGGCATCAGGTATGAGCCCCACCCACCAGGTAAGGCTGGGGCCTGTCTTACCCCAGGAAGGAGGCCAGCCTGGAAACTCAGGCCCGGGCTTAGTGTCCCGCAGACCTCAGGGCCCCACAATGGGTCTCAGTCCATGGAGGGAGGCTCTCACCTCCCATCCATCAGCAGAAATTTGCCAAAGTGGAGCCAAGCCCTGGGGCTCTAGGAATGCAGAGCTGCGAGGCTAAAGCCTGACTGACCATCCCAGAAGAGCCGGAAGAGCAGGGCTGTGAGGCCCCCACTCAGCAGCGGCTGCCTGGATTCCTGTCATTTCAGCAGCTCTCGGACCTCCGTCCGTGGAAAGACAGCGCCTCCCCCCACTGCACCAACAGCCAAGAAATATGCTGCTCAGCCCAGCCAGCCCCTCCCACTGGGAAGGTGGGATGCAGCCACCGCCTCCTCTGGGGCTGGCAGATATTTATGGTTTGTTAATGTTATTGCAAAAATCCCTCTCTGATGAAGCCAGCTAGGGTTGTTGAAATTAATGACCTCAGGTAGGATCACCAGGAGCATCGCCCAGCCCTGCCAGAAATCCTGCATGTCAGCAAAAACTCTGTCACCGAAGCCACGCTGGAGAAATAACTCAGCCATTAGCAGTGAGCAGCAGAGAAGGGCCCTGTGTCCTGGCACCCACAGGTTAGGGGCAGCCCAGGCAGGAGCGGGGTCCTGGATGCAGGGAGGAGCAGACCCACCAAGAGGCTCCGACACCCAAAGCTTTGCCAGATACTGCCTGCGTGGGAGGCGACCCTGCTCACAGCCAGCATATGCGGGTCTGTTCCAGACTAGCAAGGATAGCTCCTCACCCTGGGCACCATGTCCCACCATGTCCCACCATGTCTGCATGATGAAGGGCACCAAGAGCACCCCAAAGGGTGCGTAGGGACTGAGGGGTAGCTGGGGCTGGGCGCAGCACCTGGTTCACTTCCAGCCTTGGTGGGACATCACTCTGATGCCCAGACAAGCTGCTCCTGCCACAGCCTCTGTGGCTGCTCCTGCCTGAGTCCCCTATGTCTGGCTGCCCCAGAAACTGGAGGGGGGTTTGCCTCAAGAAGCTGCAGCCCTCCTCCACCAAGCAGCTGTGCACAGGGACAGGCCTGGAGTGTCTTGGGCTGCTAATCCTCAGGATCTGTCCTGCCTCCCAGGCTTGCACTCTCTGGTTTCCCAGAGAGGGCATCCACACACATGCACACACAATGCACACATGCATACACACAATGCACACGTGCATGCATGCACACGTATCAATGCACATCCATATACACATGCACATATACCATACACACACATACATGCATGCACACACATGCATACACATAATACACATGTGCATACATGCATGCAATGCACACATGCCCATGCATGCATACACATGTACATGCAAATACACATGCACATATACCCACGTGCACACACATCACATATGCATGTGCACATGCATCACACCTTACACACATGCACACATGTCACACACACATGCACACATGCTTACATATACATGTCTGCACACCCACAGTAGGGAGCTATGCAGGTCAGGGCTCAGCACACCCTCAGCTTCTACCTTAATGGAGGGCTCCTTCCTTCTTTGCAAGACCCCTAGATGTCAGGGAAGGAGAAGGAAAGGCCTTCCTGACAGAGGTGCAGAGGGACACGGAATCGGCAGGGGCAACCTGGCAGTACCAACCCAGCCCCAGGCCTTGGTGAGCCCCCTTCCTTCCACCCAGACACTGGGAAGGCAGCCCAGCCTGTCTAGGCAATCAGCAGCCATCAAAGGAGAGCCAGGCCATCTGGGGATTCCTTCGGGCCATGCCCCCCCACCTTGTCCCCACTTGTCCTCAAGCGCCAAGCCACAGACAGCCTCTGTTCAGTTATCCAGGATGTAAGGTTCATCTTCAGTCTTACGGAAGAGAAGGAGCGAGAAGGTGAGTGGTGAGTTGGGTGAGCAGTGAGTCAGCTCACAGGCGAGCTGACACGAGCATGCCAGGAGGGGTGACCCACCTGGAACACCAAGCAGGTTGAGGCCAAGGTGGCCCAGATGCCAAGTCCCTCGCCGCATCCTGTCCTAAATTCATTTTCTTCAGAGTCACTGGAATGAGTCCAAGTGGAACCCTGTGTCCTATCGCCTGTAGGAAGGGCACACACGGTTGGAACGAGCCTAGAAGCCTGGAGACACTGCTCACCACCAGCCGTAACCTCACAGCAATGGTTTCACCCCTTCAAGCCCTGGCCGAGGCGCTCCATGTGGAGGAGGACTGCGTGTCATGGAGTGGGAAGAACCCTGTCCCAACCTGGCCCTAGTGGCCAAACATCTCCCCCACAAGCTCCCAGTGCAGGGGTGCACACACCAGAATAGGGTAGGGGGTGACAGTGTCCTGGGAGGAGGAGGGGTGGGAGTTAGGAAGAAGGAGATGACACAAGGGTGTGGGTCAGGGAGGAGTAAACCAAATGGGGACCATCATCGCCACAATCCACCCTGGATCCTGCCTGGAAACCCACGCTGCCCACCCTGGGAGAGGGGATGACCTGGGATTCCAAGAAGGACAGGAGGATGCACAGAGGAGGGGGCTGCCCTAAGGGCATGGATCGGCTGAGGTCTTCTGGGAGAGAGAGAAAGGAGGGGCCCAAAGCAGGCTCAGGCTTTAGGGTGCAGGAGAAAGCACAGGGCGCCCTGATGGATGGCACTGCCATGCCCACCCGCCTTGGAGTCCACTGAGATCAAGCCATCAGGCTTCTTGCAGCTGCCTCCTGATATGCCAGGCCCTAGGCCCCAACCTCTGCACACAGTCATGCCCAGCAAGCAGCAGCCCAGCCACCAAGAATCCTGCAAAAACGCCCCAAAGCTCACCCTGAGGACGCCCCACCTGTTCTTTCTACCAGACCCCTAAGCTCAGGTGACCTCAGCCTTAGGGCATCTAGGACTGGTCCCATTCTATTTTTCAAGAATTTTCTCTTGCTCCTCTTTACCCATCTCCATACTCCCCCATGCTGAGTTCCACACTCCCCTCCACTTTTGTTCATGCTCTTCTCTTTCCAAAATGTTCTCTTGTATCCAACAAACTCCTATTCATTCTTCAAGGCCCAGCTGAAATGTCCCATCCTCTCGGAAAACCCTGACCCTCCCGGGTTGGAATGAGCCCAGTTTGTAATGACTCCCACAGTCTGGCTCTGGGCTGGTTCAGGGTGTGCATGAATGAGTGATGCTGAGTATGTGAAACCCACTTCCCTTTTTCAGGAGTAAGCTTTAGCCCGGGACCCATGGGTAAGCTATGCCCTGGCCTGCACTCCCGCTGTCTCCACTGACCCCTTTGGAGGGGCCCAGCCAGACGGAAATAACTGTGCACTCCCTTCCCTCAGGGCTCGCACAGAAGGGCGGCTGGGTGTGGGGTGCAGAGAAAGGCCCTCACCTTTCCAGGGGCAATTATGACTCGCAGAACCTTGAACCGCGGTCTTCATGAGGTTACCAAATAAATTATTACATTATTACATTTTAAGTTGACAAGTAAATCTTATTATAAAAGTGTAATGACACCATAAAAGACATTTTATTCATCTGTTTCATCCTCTTGTTCCCATCGACACTTCATTACAGCTCCCGAGACACGGAGAACTAGAACATTAATTTGGCGAATCAATGGAAATCTTTCAGGAGCCGGGGTTTCCAAGCTCTGCCCCAGGGGCCCCAGTGAGCACTCAGGGAAAAGACCCCCAGTCTGGGGTGGAAAGAGCTTGGAGGCCTGGGGTAGCTTTGCTCTGCATGGACACCTAGGGAGGGGTCCCCTAACCAGCTCCGAGTGCCTCCCACGTCTCTCCAAGTCCCTGCCAAGGTTCAGCTTGCCCATGCCCCACTCCCCCTTGGACGGTCTCTCAGCTGCACTGGTGTGTGGCCTTGAGTCCGTCTTTGGACACTCTGCCATCTTTAAGCTGGGGATGTACAAAAACAATTAGTGCAGCAGTGAACAGCCAGAGCCAGGGCCGAAAGCTCAGGTGACCAGGGTACACTTTCCAGGGACCCGAGAGGGCTGGGGCTGAGACAGCGCCTGTCGGGGTCAGAATCCTGGACAGCGCCAGTCGGGGGCAGAACCCTGGACAGCGCCAGTCGGGGGCAGAACCCTGGACAGCGCCAGTCGGGGGCAGAACCCTGGACAGCGCCAGTCGGGGGCAGAACCCTGGACAGCGCCAGTCGGGGGCAGAACCCTGGACAGCGCCAGTCGGGGGCAGAACCCTGGAGCGGCTGGTGGGAACTCGCCCTGTCTTCTTCCCACTCTCTAGTTTCCAATTCGTTAACGGCCTCTACTACTTTCATCGTGGAAAAAAATACATACAGGTATTAGCATGGGTAAGACTTGATGTTAAGTGCACAGTTCACCCTTGTTAGCCCTCAGGGCTCGGCCAGCAGCACCCGGCCCCTGCCCAGGACACAGTCGCTCCTCCCCAGGGTCCCCGAGTCAGATCCTCTCTGTCTCTATCTCTGTCTCTCTCTCAATTCAATGATCGGTGTGTTTTTCATCTTCTAACCTGCCTGTAATTTGGAAATTGTACTATTTCAAACAGCTCAACTTAAAATCGGGATTTTTAAGGTTGATCATTTTTCTCTTCTTCCTACCACTATTAGCAGGATGTTAGACAATTTCTAAGTAAATGATTTAAAACTGGGATAAAAGCAGTAAATGGCCTCCACTGGGCTGAGGAGAGACCAGGAAGCAAATGGAGCCCAACCTGGAGACAGACAGGTGATGCCCCATCCCTACAACACCACCCCCAGGACACCACACCCCCCGTGATGCCACACTTTGAGATGCCTTGCCCCAAGGTGCCAGGCCTCAGCAATGCCACGCCCCCATGATGCCACGCCCCCGTGACCACGCCCCACTCCCCTTTCGGCTTGCCATGCCCCCATGACCATGCCCACTCCCTTCTGCATGTCACGCCCCCCCTGATGCCATGCCCCATGACCACACCCCTGCTACCCTTTCTGCCTTGCCATGCCCACAGGCCCGAGACACCCTGAGGATGGTCCTCCTCTACAAAGGAAACATGGGTCCACTCCCCTGGACCTGGAGGCACCCGGACTGCAGCTGGGCCTCCCCCTTGCTACTGCAGAGCTGGGGAACCCCAACAGAGGTGCTCCCCCTGGTCCATCTCTCGAGGCTGGAGTGGCCAGGCTGGAGCCTATCCCTGCCAGGAGGAGAGGACAAAAGGCTGCAGGTGCACTCCTGTGACATACTGTGGGGGCTGGATGAAGCAGGATGGGGCTCTCCAGGGTCCCATGGGTGGAGCTACCAAGGGAGAGCCTTCAACCATGGCCCTTAAACACACCCGGGCATTTTCCAGATAGAGAAGACTTTATGGGCAGATGGAGGAGCAGAGGCAGAGAAGAGGGTTCAGACAGCTGCTGGGGCCCAGTGGTTAGAATGCAGGGGACTGTCCAGGGGCAGGCAGGTAAGAGGGGCACTGCAGACAGACCACACATCCAGGGCTAGGAGTGAGCACCAGGGCTCAGATGCCACAGGATTGGCTGGTCCTGTGGAGGGGCTGGGGAAAGAGGCTGGCCAGGGGCAGGTGAGGACGCCTGGACACAGCCTTACCTCCCGGGGTCCTGAGCAGTGCCTGGCACCACATTCCACAGCCATTGGGTGCAGCCCAAGCCAGAAGCTTCCACCCTGCCATCCCTGGAAGTCACCGGAAAGCAAGGATTCCTGCATTAGTCATCAGGTCACATGGCAGTACTGCCCTGGCCAGCACCGTCCTCACACAGGCACAGCCAGCAGGCCCAAGGCAGGCAGAGCCAGACCCGGGGGCTCCCAACAAAGGACTGCACTGGCTCAGAAGGGGCCGGGGAAGGCCTCCCGCCCCTGCACACCAGTGAAGAGGAGGAGGCAGGGATGGGGGTGCTGACCTGGCCCCTCCACTCCTCCAGTTACTGGTGGCTGCTCAGGGCCCAGAGCTCACAGGGCTGGGGAGGGCACTAGGCCTTAGAGGAAGAATCAGGTATCCTCAGAGAGACAGCAGAGCAGGGACCTCAGGGACACTTGGGAACAGAGTGCATGCCCTGTGAACCGGAAGCCCCACGCCCAGCCCCGGCTGCTGCCCAGGAGGCCTGTGGGAGCCAGTGCATGCTGCAGGCTCAGAGGTGCAGGGACGGCGTCCTTCTCTTTCTCCTTCCCCTGCCTCCACCTGTCCGTCCCTCTCCTTCCCTCCCTCTCTCTTTCTCCCACTCCTTTCTCTCTCTGTCTCTTCCTCTCTCCCTCTCTCTCCCCCCTTCTCTCCCTCTTTCCCCCTTTCTCTCCCTCCATCTCCCATCTCTCCTTTTCTCTCCCCCTCCTTTCTCTGTCTCCTCCTCTCTCCCTCTCTCCCCCCTTTCTCTCCCTCTTTCCCCCTCTTTTTCTCTCTCCATCTCCCATTTCTCCCTTTCTCTCCTCCTCTCTTTCTCCCTCCTTCTCTGTCTCCCACTCTGTCTCTCCCCACCTCTCTTTCTCCCCTCTCTCTCTCTTTCTCTCTGTCTCTCCCCCGTCCCTCTTGTTCTCTCTCCCTCTCCTGCTTTTCTGAACAATGCACAATGACCATCACTGGCTCACAAAATTAACTATCTGAAAGACGTTAAGAACTTACCTTGGTTTCTATGGCAACATGAGAATAATTCACATTTCCCAGCCAAACTGAAGGCGAACACATTTTTTGTCTGCTTTATGGGTGGACAATTATCTCTAATAGCCAGGTCAGCAGCGGCCATCCCTGGGTCCTCTGTCCTCGTTAGCATACCCTGGCAACGGGCACGTGAGGATGGATGGTGGTCACCAGGTTTACTAAGAGACTCTGACCTGGTGTGGGGAGTGGAGATGCCTTTCCACTGCTTGTCACCAGGAAGAGAGGGTTGGACCACCCTCACCGCTGTGAAGCCCGGGCCGCCTCCACCCTTCAGCCTCTGACTTGGCTGCAACAGTGAGGGCCTGGTGGAGAGGTGTGGGCCCTGACACCAGCGTCCTCACTCATGGGCAGGTAACCTCCAGTGTCCTCCTCTGCCACTAGAGTGGAACCATAATGCCCACCCAAGGGGCCATCAGTCACTCCACAGACCCATGCCTGGAAGGCAGTAAGTGTCCAATAAATGCTTGTGGAGTGAAAT